AATGACTATAACTCCAGAAGGGAAAGCCGTGGGAACAAATCCATTTAGGCTCTTTATCTACTCCCAACCCTCTATCAAACGAGGTATGAACGAACGAAATCGGAGGTATACATCGGAAAAAGTTCCCTCGTTAGTTTGAATCCTGCATTAGCTCATTATGTTCAACGTCATATGATACAGGTAGAAACTAACCGACCAATACAACTTCAGTAGCAGTCCATATCGTCACTAACTTAAATAACAGGAATAAAGATAACTATGGAAACCACAATCAATTTGCCAACGATAATGTGTTACCACTCAATGGTCTTTTTGGATAAAAAAAATTTTCTTTGAGCTCATTAAATTCGGCGTCTTGTAAGATAGTAGATTCTTGAATAAACTTTCGAACAGAGTGAAACACATTCGACCAGAGTAAATAGAATCTCTCTCTATCCACACCTTATCTTGTGAGAAGAAAAAAATAGTAAGTATATACAAAAATTAATCATAAAGAGACAACATGAAGTGATCAATTTTCCAATGATTACTAATCAACAATCAACCGATAAAACACTATTACCTTAGTTTGACTGAAAGTCTAGGGTTATATGTGACAAATGCCGGTGGCATCCGGAAATAACATAAAACTGCGATAGGCAGCAGCGTTTAGTGTTCTTAGAAATGAAAGTAATACAGGGTAGATAATCGACCACAGCTAATCAGAAAAGTGGTATGAGCGACTAATTTTTTGAGCTCCGTCGGCTGAAACCGGTACAACTCCGTCGGAAGAAACACTCCTGAATAACCTTGGATAGATATGGTACGAATTGTGCGCTCGTCGCTCGAGTACATTTTATACGATCGCTCGTGCACTGCAATGTATTTTTATACAAAATTTTTTATTTACATAATAACTGAACGGCAATTACACAGCAAGTAAACAATTGTTTACACATTTTTTGTGCAAAAGTATAGAGAACTTATTTAAATTAGGAATGATATGCGAGCCCTCAGACGCCGAGTGCGCTCAAACAACAAGCGCGATTCGTCTGTTTTGCTCGAGCGTCAGCTCGATTTGTGCCGTTCCTAACCCTGAATGAAAATAAAAGTTCAAATTACATTTTTTTTTTGACTTAGGAAGTATTTCCATGTGCTAAACGAAGTATTTTTCAAAACACCGAAACGCGCTCTAATCTTTTGTCCCTCATTTTATTTGTTTTCCATTTAAAAATATAATTTAATACTATTTTAGCTATCGTAATAATTCTCTGGAATATTTATTTGAATCAGATTTCAAACAGAAAGATAATTTATTACCAATTGAATTTATTAAAATTGAAATTATTAAATATAAAATATTATGTGTCATCATTATTAATACGTTTATTTATTGGTTCTCATGATAAAAAGAGTCTAGAATTAGTTGAAAAGTTTAATTTAAAATATCATTTATCAATTCCATATTATTTAATGAATTTTAATGATGATTTACCACCTATTACGTTACCATCCCATTTTATTAATGGAAAAATTGTTGGCAAACAAAAGTATAAACGACATCAATTAATGATGTTTATTTCAGTTATTGAACGTTTACAATTATTACGTAACGGTTTTACATTTATTTATAGTGACACTAATATTCTTTTAAGAAGATAGTTCAATATCGTGACAGAAATATGCCGGAAGGATTTAAACGAGGAACTTGATCTTCAAAATTTTTGCCGTGTACTCACTTTGATTTCGTATTAGTTCTTCAGTAAAAATGTCTTTTAGTAGAAATTGTGGAGTACTGAACGCATCGTAGGATCGATGTAAACTTCAAAAAGTCGTATCATGTTCTTGAAGACAAAAAGGCAGGTGATATTGAATAATGCCTGCCCTCACCCTCACCTAAAATTAAAAAACTTTATTCAATGAGAAAACATTTTCCAACAAAAGTTATTGTACTGAACATGTTTTACTTTCTATATTAGTAGTTGTGGTCTTTATCTGCGATGCGAAAACTTTGTCAGGCTGAATTTGTTGCGGAGACGGAGTATCGATAGCAGCTGGAATACTTTTTTTTTATGTGACATCAAGTTCTGAATCAGTTGTGAGTATTTGTGTAGTAGTAGGAGGTAATGGTTCTTCGTCTTGTACAGCTAGAGGATTCAAGGCTTGATTTACTTCATCTATGAGTTTTTTTACTTCTTTTATTGTGTCGTGTTCAGATGAATAATTTGACTGATAGATGTGTAAACTTTTGTCCAAGTTAATCAAAGCATCAGAATAATTTTTCTGTTCAAAATAAATATAACCAACCCAGAGAAATGAGTGAGCGATTTTCGTATGGTCAGAGGACAATAACTTTTGTTGAATTTCCAGGGCTGCCAACCGATAAACTATTGCTTCATCGAATAAACTACATACATGACATAAACCACTGATCTTTTCTAGACACTCAATTACATTCGATTGATTAGGATGATTACAATTCTCCAAAATATTCAATGCCTGTTCATAATACCTCATTGAAGTATTACAAGCTTCAGTTAAATCACCCATTCTCATCAGAGTACGTGCAACTCTTGGATGATTATCACCAAATAAATTCTTCTGTTTAACTAATTGTGTCCGACAAAATTCTGAACATTGTTCAATATCACCTTTCTTTTTGTAGGCATCAGCAAGGTCACCAAAATGTTTACTTAAATCTGGGTGATCACTTGGTAAACATTTTTCATCCATTTCATATTGAAGATGATAATATTTTAATGCATTAGCATAGTCTTCCTGATCTTCATATAAGCCGGCGAGTTCTCCAAAGCTTAATGCTATGTCAGGATGTTGACTGGGTAAAACTTCTTTGTACATTTCACATGCCCGTATTAAATATTTTAATGCAGCATTATTGTCCTTCTTCGCTTGGAAAGCTAAGCCAATATTTGTTAAACAATAAGCCTTTCGGAGATGACCATCCGAATATCGCTTTGCGAAAATATCGAGAGATTTCTCCAAGTAACTGATGGCTTTGTTATAGTTACCCTTACGTCTGTAAATATTTCCGATGGTGTTTAATGATGATGCAATACGCAGATGATCAGGAGCGAAGCGTTTTTGACGTATTTCATATCCCAGTTGATAATTATCAAGAGCTAAATTTAATTCACCTTTCTCTTGCATCACATTTCCAATACCAGTATAAACACTATCAATCTCTTCATGGTCTTTAGGCAAAGTTTTTAATAACATATTGAAATATTTTTCAGCTTTTTCAACTTGTCCCAATTCTTGGCAGAGAAGATTACCAAAGAAAATAATTGGACTGATTTCTTCCATTTTCTTCTTCTGGAATTCCAAATATTCTCGCACATCTTTTGAACCATCATCAGTTGTTCTCATTTTTACTTTCCACAAATTAAGTTCAAAATCAAATTCAGATGAATCAATTTTAAATGCAGCTGAGACCGAATCTCTGGAAGACCCATAAAAAATATTTTTTCCATTTCGAGAAGCTCACTATTCGAAAACCTATAAAAAATGTGTTTATAGACTTGTGCTAAAATAAATATCCAAATTCCTAAGCAAAATTCGCTGCTTTTTATTTCAAGTCTATAATTCAATTTGATCGAAAATATTTCTGCAGAAAAATTAAAAGGCTATATATCATTCGATGCAGTTTTTCACGCTGATCCCGAATATGGTATTATATTTGACGAAATGTGTGTTTATAAGGGAGACAAATCCGAAAAATTAGTACTAATCGTTTAGTATCCACACTAGGGTACAGATGAAAACGTTGCTTATATTGATAGACTACTACAGTTCGTCTACTACTACTACTTTTAGTAGTGACTTAGGACCAATTATCGTTTAATCTTGAGTGTGTTATTTTCTAACGGCTGACTTAGAGACACGAAAATTTCAGAGAATCCAAGAGAAACGCGAGATGTTGAATTTTTAGTAAAATTTCGGCGTCGACGGATAGACTCAGTCCATATAAACCTACCACCATTTCCATGGACCTTTGACGTCAATGACGAGAACTATCTCATATTATAGACCTCGGCAAGCTGAACCGAATGATGAAACCGCAAGTCTCTAACC